GGAGCATGGCTGGGTTAGATGGCAGCATGCGGTGGTTGGGTGGGGGAGCTGGCATCACCTGGCTGCAGTCGGCGGGAATGGGCTGCTGCACGGCTGCGTACAAAGACACGCGTTAGCTGGAGAGCACACATTCACCCTGGAAACATGGCAGAGCCTTAAAAGGCTGCTGCTCTGTCTTTCTCTTTCACTACATGGGCCTCTCCTCTGTGTTCTTTGCAACAGAGTTGTTACTGGAGCGATAAGGAAATGGGTGCATCTCAGGACATGTGATAAAACGTGAAATGGTTCTTTTTCAGGGCAGAGAATCATTAAGTGCCCTGTATTTAGTCAGACCCCAGGCCCTGTCTCCTCAAGGCTTTTTCCCTCCTTACCTTGAAACTGATTTATCTGCTGGGCCGCAAACAAACTCCTCTGTTCAGATGTTACTCCCAGCATGGGTTGTCTCGTCTTTTCCTGGTAAACAAGGGGCACAATAGTCAAGTTGCAGTCTCTTGACAAACAAGAATAGCAGCAGACACTTGCAGCGTAGCCACTGTCATGATTAACAACCTCTCTGTAGCCACACACACCCCTCTGAAAGACTCAGCCCAGACAGCTCATTTCAGACCTGATCTTAGCTGCTCCCATGCCCCTTCTTGCAAAGGTGTCCTGACGACAGCCCAGCGTTAGGAAGCACAGCTTGCAGCAGGTGCTGTGCAGGCGGCCCAAGGCCCAAGGGGAGCTGGGTGAACATGGAGACCCTCGTGTTCACCAGCGACAAGTGAAGTGCAGCACCTTTTGTTCTGGTTGCCACTTCTGACCAGAATCAGAACATCGCAGTGAGCCACAGGAAGCCAGGGACCCTTGGCAGATGATCCCAGAGGAAGGCAGTGCTGGCTTTCTCCAAGTGATCTGACTTGTCTCTCCCACCATCTAGCCCCAGAACCTGCCACCACACTCTCACTTCTGCTATGGACAGCAGCTGTGACCTGGGGAACTCTCTGTGGACGGTGGTAGCTGGGGCTTGGCTGAAGTCCTGCTGTGTTAGAGCAGCAGAGGTAAGCTTGAAGCCAACTGATGACAAAGAGGCAGAGTTGGTTTTGAAAGGGAGTTTGATCAATGACCAAGACAGTACTCAGTGGAGGGTTCTACTGAGCTGCTTCTCATCTCATTTCCCATCCAAAGAAATGAGCCTCGTTGACCCAAATCCAGCAGCACACTCAGAAAGCCAGAGGCACATTTCAATGCTGCCTCACCCAAGTCATGTGTGGGATTCCCCCATCCCTGTTCCTTCACAAAGCATGGTACAAATGTTGTACAGGGACAGCCACAAGGATGGTGAGGGCTCTGGAGAACAAGCCTTATGAGGAGCGGCTGAGGAACTGGGCTTGTTTAGCCTGGAGAAGAGAAGGCTGAGGGGAGACCTCATCACCACCTACAACTGCCTCAAGGGAGGTTGTGGAGAGATGGGTGCTGGTCTCTTCTCCCAGGTGATGGGGGATAGAACAAGGGGAAACGGCACCAAGCTGTGCCAAGGGAGGTTCAGGTCAGAGATAAGGAGGAAGTTCTTTACTGAGAGGGTCGTCAGAAGCTGGCACAGGCTGCCCAGGGAGGTGGTGGAGTCACCATCCCTGGATGTGTTTAAAGAGCGGGTAGACGAGGTACTTAGGGATATGGTTTAGGGGGTAGACAGGAGTGGTTGGACGTGATGATCTCAGAGGTCTTTTCCAACCAAGCGATTCTGTGATTCTGTGATTCTGTTGCTAGAGAGACCAGCAAAGTCCAGGAAAAACTGGAGTCTAACATCTGCTCTGGTAAATACCCAGGGAAGCAGAGAGAAAGGCAAGCATGGAGAACATCTCTCCTGGGGCTGACTCACTCTCCAAGCCTCCCTTCTCTGCATCTTCCCTCCCAGCTGCAGCTGACCCAGGATGACGGCAATGATAGGGAGCTGACAGAATCCTTCCCCTGCACACGAGTGGGCAGCTCTGCACTTGGACTGGCTGAGCAGCACTTTGCCCTGGCCTCTTTTGGGCATGACATCCTGGACTCACCGCAGGCCTAGTCTGACTCAACCCAGCAATTCCAGGGTCCCTCCTCACTGTTTGCTGACTGCTGATTTCCCCATTCCAGTTAGTCCTGTCCCTCCCAGTGAGGTGGACAGCACAGGAACCCAGAGACGCGCTCGGCATCATACCTGCATCAGCTGTCGTTTCATTATTTGCTGCTTCAGTAAATGGTTCCTCATCGTGTACCCATTCACCGTGGCTGGTGCCGGCACAGAGCCTCCGCTTGGGACGGAGCCCGGCTCCTGAAGTCTGGCAACAATTCCAGCATTTTGATCCTGCCAAGAGAGATGAAAAAAAGAAAATTAATCTCATCAGGGAGGTAACAACAGAAGCCCTGATCCTCTCTGCTGATGCTCTCTCTCTGGTCTTTGGCTGTCCTAAGGCCAAAGTACCTTTTGGATTCCCATGGCCCTGCATGTCACGGTGAGGACAGCGAGGGGCAGAGGATTGCTCTGATTTCTGAGGATCAGCACAAGAAGAAGTGAGAGAAGCAAAAGGTTAATCCAAAATTCTCTGTGACTAGCCCAAGGCTATAGCACTGATTCACTCCCATTACTGGAGTCACATGGCTGCCGGGCTGGCAGAAGGGATGTGAGTAAAGCATCACATTTCCCACCAGTTCCCCAACTGTTACACTGAAAGACAGAAGGAAAGAAAAGTTGCATCAGGGTGGGATTTGGCAGTTGGATATAAAGGAGAAGCCTGCAGTAAAATTAAACAGCAAACTAAAGGCAGAAGAGGAGAAAAGGTGCCATCTGACCAGGGACCTGGAAGGATGGGGAAGATGCAGGCCTGGGATTGAAGTGGTTTTTGTGGGTCCCATGATCAGACAAACAAGGATCACTAATTGTAAAAGGAGAGGAGAATGAGCAAAACCACAGGGTCAGGTCATGGCCAGGCACAAATCAGTAACACAGTGGGGCTGGTTCCTGGCTGGTGCAAACTGGCCTCGCTGTAAGTCCTCAGTGCAAGGTCTGAGTTGACTTTCACCAGCTGAGGACAAAGAAAAAGCATTGTGGGGAGAAGAGGGGAAAGAAATCATAAAAACACAATGAAGATACAGCCCGAAAGGGAAAAAGAATTTAAAAACTACTGAAGTCTAAACACCTTCGGAGCTGGCAGGTAGTCAGGGAAATACAAGAGAAAACTGAGGGAAGAAGTCAAGCCCTCACAGAGGACAAGAGTCCGTAAGTGCTGTACTCAGGAACAGCAGGACCAGCGCATTCCCCTTTCTCGATGTTCACATCCAGCGCCTACATTTTTTATGATGTTTTGTTATTATTGGCAGGGAGAAGTATGTATATTATATCCAGCATCCTTAGCTGGGCCATGCTTCCTCTATTTTCAGAATGGAAGCCCACATCCTTTGTTTGAGAATCAATGTTATCAGGAGATAAGCAAGAAGAAAATGGTTGTTGCCTTTTGACATCTGACAATTAGAAGCATGCTCAGATGGAGAAAACAGGATACGAGCCACGTTTCAGAGTGGCCAGAAGAAAGCCTTGGAAGGCATTTGTCACCAGGCAGCTTCTCGGGCCTGGGGCACATTTCCACAGCAGCTTCGCCGTGAGGAATCACCCAGCTTCTTCCAAGATATTCTTTGTAAGAGCGATTACCAAGAAGGTCACTGAAATGACTCATTTTTATGGTGCCTTCCTTTGTTGTAGCACTTCGGTCTATTATGCAAAAGCACAATTGATGAAATGTAAATGCCTGCTAGATAATTTACTAAAAGACACAAACCTGCAGCTCATCACTGCTCTCATTATCATTCCTATTCATGGGCAGTCTCATAAGACCAGACTTTATTACCGGTGCTTTGCTTACAATTCTGCTGGACATCTCTCCTCCTCCCCCTTCCCTCCTACCCATTTTACTCCCTCTCTCCCCCAGAAAAAGAGGAAGGGGAGGGAAAAAGTAAATATGATTTACTACAGATGTAAATATGAAAGTTCATGTGAAGCTAGCGCTCCGCTTTCATGTCAGACAGGATTCTGCAGCCATAGTTAAGCTTTGAATAATGCAGATTGCCTCTAGGGGAATATCTGAAAGTGCAGGGATTCAGTTTGTGTACTCTGCACATGAAAGACACTGAAATGCTCATACCACCAAAACCCCTGCCATCTCTCCAATTTCCTCCAAACTTGTCTTGTTGCGTGCAGAGGGTCTGTGCTTACTGAAGCAGACGAGTTTAGTGCAAGGACAATCATTCTGATGTCTCGCTCAGGGCTATTACATTAACAAGTCGTCACATTAAAGTCTCTCTTCCTAATCACGTCCACCTCATTCTAATTTCTCCTAAGCATCATCAAGAAAATAATGTTGATTTTTTCCATATTATTAATGGTAAAGAAGTGTAAATCACATTACTAATTACGGCTCTTGTGCTGCGGCAGTACAACAGCTTAATTATATGGGACTTTCTGCAGGCACCCTATAGCAATAACGACAATCAGCAAAGTTCATTTGCAAATACATAGAATGGGCTGCTGAGTTTGTCAGAGCAAAGTTGTGCAACACTTAATTAGCCAGTGAGGAAACAATCTATAGATACAAATTTTGCTTTTGGGGAAATTAAGACAAAACAGCGTGGATGGGAAGACAGGGAATGAATTCCAAACCTTGTGTTTCATGGTTCACATTTAGGTTAAGCCAACAAAAAAATAAACCAAAAAAAAGAGAAAGTTCTCTCTTTTCACCACTAGTGGGAACTACTGCATTCCCTTACAATAAAATATCCCCACTTCAGCGTCATGACTAAGAATAGCTCTGGTGTGGTCTGAAGGACGCTGCTATCTGTACCAAAGGGTAATGAACTTTAAACATTTTTCCTTTTCATCACTCCCCAAGAAAAATCACTTTCCTTCCCACAGTAAGGCCAAGCCGAGCAAGCCATAATGTTAGCCACAGATTTTGAATACAGTTTGGACCATTCCATTTCAAAATCCAGGAAGACGGCGAAGAGAGGAGGTTTCCAGCGGTGGAGCTGGGGACGGTGGCTGTGAGCTGCCCTGGAGGAAGCGGATGGTTCCAGCAGAGTCTTATCCTTTGACTTTCAAAACCAATGTGTTTGCATTTGGGTATTGGGAATTTTTTTTGCCATTTTTCTCCTCCAAAAACTCATACTACAACATCAAATGGGCTGATTCATAATCTACATCCTTCCAAAAATCCACTGACGAGCTCGACCGGCCCGGCCCCATCCTCTGATCACGCATGAGATGCACAAGTGCTGCACGGAACCGTGGAGGTGGACTGTGCTGTGTGAACGCAGCTGATAAACTCCAGTCCTCAGCACTTAGTTATACACCCAGTAATCGCTCTGTGGCTTCACTGAAGCGAGAATGAGGAAATTTATGGCCCCTAATTCCTCTGAATCCTCATTAACAAACAGTCCAAAAAGAATTTAAAAGCAAGACTTTCTGAGGAGCCGAGCTAGAGCTTTAATCGCTCTTTTGGCAAATATGTAAAAACCCCTCTAATCTTTAATAAAGAGCATTCATTGTTTTTTGGGACTATGTGAAAACACTACACTAATTTATCATTATTAAACTTTCCCATCTTGCCCTGACGGTGTAACTCCAAAGAATGTAACACAGAAACGTACATGTTAAATTGTATTGACTTAAGCCCAGAGCCATTGGAGATGTACAATTTATTTCAGTGAGGGCATGAAGGGGACTGCAGGCTGCTAGACAGAGTCATTTGTCCAATGCTGAAAAGACAGTTATCTGCACCAAAATGGCTCTTGGAAAGGCACATTTGCTTTATAAGAAATAAGCTGCCAGGTGAGACCATTCAGCGTTATGTTACAGACTCAGACAATAAAACTAAGCCATGAATTTCAATAGTTAACAGATGGACTAATTAGAGACTGAATTCTTTGTGGTTCTAACAGATAACCAGGTCACAGCAAGGTTACTGAGAGGCAGCTTTGCAAATTTCGGAAGATATTTGCAGAGTCGGGGAGGAACTGCACTTCCTAACTGAAAGTGTTAGCGGCAGTGGAAGAAAATAAATGTGTCTAATTAAAAATGCACGTAGTACCTGCATTTTAAAAGTCACTTCCATTTAAAAAGGCACTGCTGCTTTGAGAAATATTCCCTCCACTTTCAATGGGGCATCCAGCTGAACCCAGTAATTACAGAGCTTAAAACAGAAGGGTTCTTGGGATGAGCCACAGCACCCCAGCGTAAAAGGAAAAGCTCAAAGGAAATGGGTCGCTATGGGTCGATGTTTGCTGTAAATATGAGAAACAGACTAACTGCTTTTTCCACCTTATTTTTTTATAACCAAAGATAACTTAGCTTAAGTATTTACCAAGACATCACACAGTAAGAAAGAAAAGAAAACAAAAACCAAGAGAGGAAAACCATGGCTATGGGACTCAGGAGGAGCCTCTGCTACTGCTCTGCTCCGAGGCCCTGGCTGCTTGGCCGGGGACTTTAGGTGGATCTGTATTCTAGGGGTGGGTGAAGCTTCATTAATCAAATTTTGTCCTGTATTTTAAGAACATCTGTTACATATGGGGAGTTCTGTACTCTGCTGAGGAAATGCAAATACCAGTTTCAAACTCACGCCCCTGCGCTTCCCCGCGCTCCCGCCTGCTGCCTGCGCATCGTCTCCTGTTTGGTTGGTGCCTGCACCTCCTTGCTGGAGCTTCTGTGCCTGGGCAGCACTTTGCTCTGAAGTCCAGGCCTAAGACTCTTAGGCACAAGACAAAGACACTCTACAATTACTACAGACTAAGCAATCAAAGCACTCACACTATTAAAGTTGGCTCACCCATAGAATTGCACGGTTGTAAGGAGTTCTCTGTTTAGATCTACAGAAAAGGCACTGGTAGACACCTGGTGTCCAATAACCCTGTGTGGCCCCATAGAAATCCTTGACACCACCTTGATAAAAGAGGATCATGGGCCCCATAACTGTTAATCCAAGACGGTGACGTTTTCCAATGCACACAGACGCAGCAAACAAAAGGCAGGGCTGTGGTTTGGCAGCATGATGGTGTCGGCCCACTTGAGTGCGGTGTCTGTGAGATGCCACCATCGTTTGCTTCATGCAGAAGTCAGGTGGTGCTTCTTGCCTCTGCTTCTTGACTTTAACAAAACTCTCCATTTGCTCTTCGGGAGTTTTCTGTCTTTCCTCTCCTCTATTCTGCTCACAGTTCAGAGATGCTCTTCAAGATAAAACAGTCTTTCAGTTCAGAAACGCTCCAAAGCTTTTTGTTTGTTTGCTTGTTTGTTTTAGCACAATGTATGAGCATTGATAA